ATGATCTCACAGCATGGATCTCCCCCGTGTCTCCGTTAATCGATAAAAACGAGGACACCGGAACCCCATTAACCTCACTGGGTAACAGGGAATAGAAGACTGTGCCGTTCTGTCTCCAATCCGGGTCTCTTGCCGTAACAGAGCAAATAGAGGATCCGGGTTTGTTATTTTCAGTCACTTGAGCGCTGTAGGATTGCTTGTCAAACACAGGTGAGTTGTCATTAACGTCTGACACCGATAACTGAATTGTCTTCGATGAGGACAACGGTGGAGATCCCTCGTCGGTGGCAGTGATTGTTATATTGTAATCTGTCACTACCTCACGATCCAGCTCGCTGGTTGTTACCAATGAATAATAGTTTTTAATTGACGGTACTAGTTTAAATGGAACATTTTGCTGAATTGAGCAGCGAATATTTTTATTGTGGCCAGAGTCGTTATCTTGCACATTAATAATACCTACTTCTGTAGCGGGTGATGCGTTTTCAGGAATAGGGTTGTTAAGCGACTTGACAAATATTACCGGCGCGTTGTCATTCTCATCGGTAATTTCAATTATTAACTGAGCATTTGATGACAACCCTGAACCATCTCTTGCCTGTATTTGCATTTCATAATACGACTCCTCCTCATAATCTATGTTCCCAATAACTTTAATTTCCCCAGTGTTTTTGTCCACAGCAAACATTTTCAGCGCTTTGTCGGATAAACTGTGTATTTCATATGTCACTTTTCCGTTGGCTCCCTCGTCTGCATCAGTAGCACTAACTGTGATCAATACCTGGCCTAGAGGTGAATTTTCAGGCAGACTGACTTTATATACAGCTTGACTAAACACGGGTATATTATCGTTAGCATCCAGCACAGTGACATGTATGACTGCTGTACCTGATCTCTGCGGAGTCCCGCCATCGGTGGCCGTTAGTAGTAATGTAATCTCCTGCTGTTGTTCCCGGTCCAGCTCTTTTTCTAACACAAGCTCAGCGTATTTGCTTCCAAACGCGTTTGTATGAACATCCAAAATAAAATGATCATTATTTTCTAACAAATACTGCTGAACGGAGTTCTGTTTGATATCAAGGTCAAAAGCCTGAGGTAAAAGAAACCGAGAATCTTTGTCTGCCGATTCTTGTATTTCCAGTTTAATCCGATCATTATGAAAACGTGGAGAATTGTCGTTCACGTCCTGAATTTGTACTGCGATACGATGTAGCTCCAGTGGATTCTCAAGGATCAGCTCGTATTTTAACGTGCATGAAACTCTCGGCCCACAAAGCTCCTCTCTGTCTATTCTGTCCGCCACAATCAAATCGCCGGTGCTCAGATTTATGTCAGAAAAGCTTCTGCTGGTCCTGTCGGCATCTAAACGAGCTTTTCGATCGGATAGTCTTTTAACATCGAGCCCAAGATCCTTGGCTATATTTCCAATGACAGACCCACGTTTCGTTTCCTCCGATATGGAATAGCTTATATCTCCGTGACTGGTATGAAACATGAAAATGACAATTACCCACCGGCAGAGAACATTTTTTGCCTTGATCCCTTTGTGTCTCATCTTCAGTATGAAATGGTGAAATGAAGGTTCCTGATTTTAACCATATGATTTTTAATCCGTATAGCCCAAATCGTTGCAGATTGTCTCAGCTGTTTTAAAATGGTTTACTAAAGGCTTAACAGCAGTTTAGTTCGTCTCATTCTCCGGTCCAAACACACATAGACTTTTCTGCTGCGAATATTACGACACTGGGTGGAGCAAACAATTTGGTCCTCCTCAAGTAGTGAACAGCGACGCTTTGAGTCTTTTTAAAAACTGCAGCACGTTGTTTAGGGCTAAATTAATGTTACGTTTGTCTGGTAGAAGATTTATTGGTACTAATACAGACAGATTTATTAAGTTTAATGTTACAAAACTAAAAAAAAACACACACAGGAAGCCTAGAAGCACATTTTCCTAGAGGTTACATTATTTCATACAATTTTCTCACATGTGCAAGAAACTGCATCTCACTGGAAACTGCATCTCACTGGAAAATTTTCTCTTCATTTCAAGGACACTTCATCATGTTTGCTGACTTAGAAGGGCAACTTAGAAGGCACTTAATGACTTTTTTGCTTATATTGACATCTTAGCGCATTGTAAGGGCACATTATTCAGCACGAGAACTCGCATGAGAGAGAACTGCTTACGCTAGTGGCCAAAATTGTGGAAAAACTTCCAATTTTAAGAGATTGCAGAACTCTATTCAACTGTTGTTCCAGTTACTTATTTAATCATCCAATGCATGATATTTGTAACATTATTTGATTGTTTATAAACTGTAAAAGAGTGTCGTTTACAAAAAAAGGGGGACGCCGATTCTCTCCCGGTGGTAACCTTTACAGAGTGTCCGATCAGAACACTGGGTTTGTTTGCCTACTTATGGCAGGTTATTCTATAGTTGGATAGTAGCGCATTAACACACCACCCACAAAGCAGTCCGGATACTCGTTGGGGGATTATGCAATTGTGGTTTACTGAAACAGAAATAAAAACATAGGAATCAACATATAGCCTAACTACCGCTCACAGGTAACATAGTTTTACAAACATTAAACAAATAACCTATAGATATTAAATTATATTAACCATTTGCATTACAAAACACAAATGAACATACAATACTCTTAAACTGAGCGGCATTAACACAGCAAAACGCGAACTGCGATCAGCGCGATATGTTTATTTTAAATTACAAACGCATAAAACAATAAACATTCGCTCCGGTTACAAAGCATAGTTGCGGTACGAATCAACTCAGCAAGCACGCACAACTACACCATAAACCCAACAAAACTTTGCAAAACTACGTTGAACTCTGCATCCAGCCTAAAGGAAAGCAAAGAAGAGAAAAAAAACCCAACGTGGGGTCCTGCGTGACGCCTCCAATGGCCGAAATAATGCCTGCTCAAAACACTGCACAATTAAACAAACCGCTCACTTAACAGCGTTTTCTACATAAACATTACTACCAATATGCGTGTAATGCCAAAAATGCTAGGTGTTTCCACAATTTTGGCTACTCGTGTAATAATGGTTGAGATAGAAGAGAGATAGAACTTGAATATCTGTAGTGACAGTGGCTTTTTTTTGTAGAAAATGGATTTTTGAGAATTCATACCTTCCATGCCACATACAGGAGCAGGAAGGGACAAGTGGTTACTGAACACATACAGAGAATGCCATCATCCCGCTATACCTTACAACCTGGCTATGACAGATGTACCAATACAGACTACAAATACAGCAACACATTAAAGGAATGGCTTGTGTGCAGATACAGGGTACACAGTACAGAACACCACAAAAACATCAGGTATAAGCTCTACCACAGCTTCACTGAATCAGTGGAGACTCTCTTCTCTCTTCACCTCCATCCTCAGATAACCTCTTGTGCTCAGCAGCGACACTCGCAGTAACATTGTGGTACTGCAGGCTGAAAATATGCTTACCCACAAGAAGTGTTGATGTAGGCCTACCACCCAGTAAACATGATTCAGCATTCCTCCATCCATTTTCTTTAGCTGATTACCCTGTTTAGAGCTGGGAGGGGGAGGGGGGAGCTGAATCTATCCCAGAAACTATGGGCCCAAGGCAGGGAACAACCCAGGACTTGGCATCAACTACTCACAGTCAGTCTGATCAATGAAATACTTCTATAATTCCTAACTGCTATCACAAGACTAGTATAAATTATTATTATTTCCAAAAGCTGGCAACATATCAAAAATAAAACTAATCTCTTGCTGTGGCTTGACTCACTGCCATTTATGTATTTGTAGTTTTTCCTTTTCAGCTGACTTGCTCTCTCAGAAACTGAAACAGGGAAGTGGTGTGACATAATCTCTCTTCATTACTCTAAATGCAGCGCTAATAATAATATTATATTACGATAGCAAGATGAAATTCCTATGAATGTGTTATGGGGGAGGTGTTAATGTTAAGATAAAAGGGAAACATTGTGTGATCTTTATCTAGTCATTTAACCCGTGATTCTGCTAGTATGAAATTCAGTTCGCAGACAATTTATGAGAGACAACTCTGTGAGCACATTTTCGGCTGGCTGAAACAAACAGCTGCAGTGTTTCCATTCCCACTTAGTTCATATAAAACTCACAGCGTTTCTTATGCTTTCACATTTGAAGCTGTTAGATAAGGGCAGCACCACATGAGCGACAATAAGAACGATGATGGATAGATGCCTGTGAGTGTAAAAATAATTCATATTACCATCTTTCCCTACATACACTGGCAAATTACCTGCTGGACAGGAAGGTATGAGATTTGGGTTCCTTTTCTGATGTACATCATGAATAATAATAACAGCAGCTTGTCGAGTTTCACTGGAGCAGTTTCCCTCGTCAGTCTCAGTGTTTCACTGTAAATTTGGGTTCCTTTGCTGATGTACATCAGGAATAATAATAACAGCAACTTATCGAGTTTCACTGGACTAGTTTCCCTCGTCAGTCTCAGTGTTTCACTGTAAATATAAGGCCTACCTTTTCTGTAGGCCCTGAAATGGACTGAGACCAGACTAAAGACCAATATTAACAAAACAAAGCGGACCAATCCCATCTCACTAATCTCGTATTTTGTTTTATTTTTCAGTTTTTTAAGCTCAGCATCCTTGTTAGGCCAAATAGCTTTGGACAGATGAAGTACTTTCTTAGATAAATGCACAGTGGTGACACACATGGTTTGTCAGTGAAGTAAAACATGTGGTGGTCTGTAGCTAATTCCTTTTAACTGACCAATGGTAAAATGGATGCTCTTCCCACAGCTGAGCTCCTGTAGACTCCTTCTTTCAGGGCCTGCATTAGTAAAGCTGGAAGCTACTCAGACCCTCTATCCCAATCTGATCAGTTCAGGCCACAACACCACTTACTACCCAATCATAGTTCTGCGGCTACAGGGAAACAGGCAGTGATATTCACCTTCCTACTTCTGGCAGATGCAAGAAAATAAAGCCTAATGCTGCATTTTAAAACCTGCACGTTACAAGAAAGGACACTAGGTGGCTCCATACACTGTGAGTTGGTGGTTCACAGCAAGTCTGTACATTGTGTACAATATAAAAGGATGGCTAGGTGGTTTGAAGAGGACTTTTATTATGAAACATGAGCAGAAGTCTTTCCTCAACTCTCCCCATTTGGTGCATGAAAATTTCCACTCCTCTCCTTCATTCCCTCTGCTGCAATATTCTTGGAATACATTAAATATAAGTATTTGTTGGTGTTTTCAAATATGTCAAAGCATAAGAATATGCAATAAACATGCAAGATGACTGGGGAAAACAGTACCGAGTATTTTAAAGATCCGTGTATGACGGGAGTGGTAAGGTGTGTGATCGTCTGCGCAGAGGTTGACGTTTCAGGTCCAGAAAGTCAAAGCAAAATCTTGGTCTGGATTTGTATTTTCTGGACCAGAAATGTCCACCTCTGCCTAAGCATTTAAGCAGTTTCAGAGCTGTGTTTCTTAAAGTCTTGTAGATATGTGTAGTATGATTTACAGAACTGTAATTCTGAATTTTATTAACAAACTGAATTCAGATGATATGCGATTGAATGGCGTAGCTCAGTTATATCAGTAGCTTCACTTAGCTGTGCATGTAAATGTATTGAGTTTATTTTAAAATTGGACCTAATGAGTAATAGATGTAGATGTAAATAGATGTAAATTTCATTGTAAAAATACATTAAAAATAACACAGAGTTCATATATTCTGGGATAGGCGTCTCGTCAGCCTTAATCACACTCTGTGCTCTTCACTTCAGACACACTTTAGAAACAAGCTGATCTGTGAAGGAAGAAACCGCAGCAACATGAAGCACTTCCACGGTATGCTGTTTTCCATTTATTGTTCATTGTTCCTTTTTGGAGAAAGCAGAAGCTTAAAAACACACCTGATAACATCCATTTCCATCCATCCATCCATCCATCCATCCATCCATCTATCCAACCATCCATCCATTATCTGTGCCCGCTTGTCCTATTCAGGTTCATGGGGGTCTGGAGCTTATTCCGGAAGATATGGGTGCAAGGCAGGGAACCACGCAGAATGGGCTGCAAACCTATTGCAGGGTACACACACACACACACACACACACACACGCACACACACACACACAAACATACACACACACAAACAAACAAATACACACACACAAAAACAAACACACACACACAAACAAACACAAACAAACACACACACAAACAAACACACACACAGACACACACACACACACAAACAAACACACACACACCTATGGACAATTTGGTAACTCCAATTCACCATACTGTTTTTTTTGGTCTGTGGGGGGGGGAAACTGGATCACCTTGAGGAAACCCTAATAACACGAGGAGAACATCATGCCATCATCCCGCTATACCTTACAACCTGGCTATGACAGATGTACCAAACACAAACACAAACACAAACACAAACAAACACACCCCCCCCCCCCATGACATTGTTCACACAAGTGCTCGAGGTCATATGAGGGTTACTGGTCTGCAGGATTATGCATATCTGTGCATAACTGGATCACTCTCATTCTTATATATGTGTATTACAAATCCAGAGGGCAAATAAACAGGTGCCAAGCCCCGGAGCAGTAGTGTTTATGGGATGCCGGTCTATCACAGTGTACGGCAAAAGCTGAGGACCCTGGGGAAACCCAGGAGAACATGCAGAGCCCACACACACAGAGCAGAGGTCAGACTCAAACCCACCCACCCACCCAGCGGTGCAATGCAGCAATGCTGCCCATTGAGCCACTGAGCCCTTTTTTTACAAATATTCATTACTTTTTTGTGCCTGTTTCTATTCATATTCATAATACCAACAAGACCACAGGCGAATCTAATGTGCATAAATAAACAGCGATTGCCCCAGCAAACAAACCTGAAGGACCGTTTCAAGAGATAGCTGCAGTAAAGCTACAGCAAAATTTGAAGTTATTATTAATAAGACCATTTCTGGAAAGGGCTGATGACAGCATTTTATTGTAAGTAAAGCAGGTTCTCCATGTTATTTATATTCCCAATGAAAAGGATGCATGTATGAGAAGCACACAGCTCTAATTACACTACATGGCCTTACTTGACTCTTCTATGAGACTGGGTGCCAACCTCTGGCTCAGCTTTGTGCCAGCATGGGGATATAAAACGCAGAGCAGAGGTATTCAAACTGAGGGGTGCGCCGCCCTGGTGGGGCACAAAGGAATTACAGGGAGTGCAAATGTGAGAAAGGGGGGAGGGGGAGAAGTAGATAACTGTGAGTGTGTGGGGGGGTGGTAGTTGAGGTAAGGGCAAACCTACTTTGAAACTGAAACCTTTAGAAATATGAAAAATAATGTGAACAAATGATATGCCTGTACATATTATACGATGATAACAAATCAAACCATCCATACATTTTCTGAAACTGCTTACCCGACTCAGAGCCGGAACCAATCATAAAGTTTTAATACCACTGACCAGGAGCCTCACCATTTGTAATTGCAGGGTAGATCAGAAACACACCATCATTCTGTAGGTCAAACAAAGCAGCCAATCATACGTACAGCCTGGTATTACTATATGTCGACTCCAGTGTGTGGTTGTTTGACATATTAGACCCAGAGACTTACACTTAAGAACTGAAGGTTAATGGGTGAAAGCACTACTGGGGCCTGTATCACAAACAGGATTTCCTGGTTAGCTGGATAATGTGTCGCATTTAAGGTATTCTGGGTTAAATGTAAGTGAACGAAGACAAAGTCCATTTACACTGGCGTACCTTAAATTCAGCAAGTTATTTGGCTACGCAGGAAATCTTGCTTTGTGAGACAGTCCCCTGCTGTATATGTTGTACTAAGAACCCAACTTAAGCCCTAGGTAACCCCATCTCTTAGCTTTCCAACTTAACACCAAACCGCATGCTAATCCACTACAAACATTCAAAAGACAACAGTGTTTGAGCATAACCGTCAGATTTTTAAGAAAGGTTTTTTTATTTGTGATTTATAAACAAAACACATTACCAGTATTCATATAATTAAAAAAAGAAAGTCACTAATTCACCGTCACACTGATGAGCAGGTGTACAAAAAGGTTCTAGCACAGAACCGCACGGGCACAGTCAATAGGCTGGGAGCACTGCGCTCCCATTGGTCAGCAGGGTTGCATGAGCACACATAGAACACAAGCATAGGAGCCATAGACCTTTTTTTTGTCATTTTATGTCTTTCCTGTTTTTTTGGGTTTCTGTTTTCAGTTTTTCTTTGAAGGGAAGGTCTGTTCATAAGCGCATACAGAGTTCACTTTCATGGTACAATGTTAGATCGTAATTGTTTAAAAGCTTAATGCGAACGTAACTGACAAAAATCATATGAATGAAAAGTTGCTTTGAAAGCGTTACACTATAGCATTACACATATCTATAAGGTTAGTTTAAGTTAATGTTAAGAGGAGGAAACCCAGATGAATTCTCTGTGTATTTCTGTGAAATATATTTTACCAGAGACTATATGTATCTCTGGGTGTTTAATGAAAGGAAAAAAACATAATCTCTCTATATATATCTATCTATATATCTATATATTGTATCTCACTTAATCATAACATGCAAACAGCCACTTAGTGATCTGACAGCACAGAACCAAGTTTCTCAGATACCAGGAGACAGAAGAGGGGCTTGGACCAGTAGCAGCAAAAACATTACTCTGCGACTTTTCCTGACTGATTGGTGTTTGCAGATACACAATGCCATAGCTTCTGATAGGTTGGTGTTGTGGGGGGGGGGAAACAAAGAGGAGCATAATGACAGTTTGCATGTAAAAAAAATAAAAACCCACCAAAAAAGAAAAAAATAAATAATCCACCAAAACGCCGAAATCCACACTGCTCTTCACCACACTGCTCTTCACCACACTGACACGCACTGCTCTTATGTCCCTTGATTTCAGCAGTATCTACAGGAATATAACTCAAATGGTTCTATGCTGCACAGACTAGAACTCAAGCAGTATTCATTTAGAACCCGTCTCACTCTCTCTCCCTCTACACCAGGGCAAAAGGCCGGTGTGTATGCAGGTTTTTGGGATCACCTGTAGGTCAGCTGTTCAAATCCAGGTGTAAGGACTCTTCAGCCAATCAGCCCTCTAATTAGTAATCTAATTAGGGAGTTGCAGCGAAAACCCGCACACACACCGGCCCTTTGCGGGTAAGATTGGCCACCCCTGCTCTACACCAACCTGGTCCTCGGGGGCCTGCAGACAGCCCATGTTTTTGCTCCTACTGTCTGGCAGGGAGCTGAACGGGAGTGAAAATGTGGACCGTCTGTGGGTTCATGAGGACCAGGTTGGGTAACACTGCTCTACACTATTCCCTCTATCCCTCACTCCCCCCCCCTCCCTAATGCCCCCTCTCTCTCTGCCACAGCACTGCAGCCAGCTGAGTGAAGTCTTTGCTACTGAGTCAGGATATGGGAGCCTATGTGCTCTGGGCACTCTGTGTCAGGTCTCTGGACAAAAAGGTCAGACTCCAGCCGCTTGCAGATGCTGTCTGAATTGCAGACTGGCATGGGATGCATCCCCAGGCCACTGAAAGGCAGCCATACCCGGGGCCCTAGCACCTGAAGAAAGGCAGCAGAAGTGTGGGTTCTAAGCTCAAACATGCCGGAACGTCAGGCAACACATTTTCATTATTTAACTTTTTCATGTATAAATCCAAAAAATTCTGAATAGAAGGATCAAGCTGGAAGTAAAAAGAAGAGTGAGCGTCATTCCTACTATTCTACTGCTTTGCTATTTAAAGTCCAGGAGAACATGTTCATCCAGTTGTGGGATCAGTCACCATCCAGGTGCGGCTCTGTCTGCGGTGGGGGGGTGTGAGTGCATTAGCCTCCTTAAAGGACTTGAGAGAGCTGTAAATAAGTGTCCTTTTTTGGGCGTTAAGTCCTGCCAGTCACCCGTTCCGTCACCCGTGTTTCTGTGTGTTTACTAGGCCTGTAGAGCCAGCCAGTTCAAAAAAACCCACTTCGCTTGGTTGGTTGTTTGTTCTTGTTTGTTGTTAGTCTGAATCACTCATGGTGTTCTATAAAAACAGAGTGCTGGGCAAAAAATACTGAGGCCAAGTTGGGTGGGGCCCGCAAGGACACGCAGAGGCGTGGGGGCGTGGCATCACGCCACAGCAGGGAGGTGGGATTTCGGTTCTCTGCTCTCTGCAGCCAATGACAAAACGCTATGAGACAATATTCATTTCAACAAGACCAGCAGGTCAAGGAAGTGAGTTAGTATTCTAATGGACACATGTATGGGTGGGCAGGGACTCTGCGTCAGGGATTACATGGTTGGCATCATGGAGGATATCTTTTCGTAGTATGCTTCCGTTTGGCTGTTGCTATGCACGCCTACTCTACTCGTCTCCGTCATCTTTGCCCTTATCCTTTTTGTCTTTCCCCTTCTTCTTCTTTTTCTTCTTCTTGGTCTCCTCCTTCTTGCCGAAGGTGATGAAGTCGCCCTTGTCGTCGATGCCGGCCTGGTCCTGCCGGATGGATATGATGGCGGGCGAGCCGGGGATGAGGAAGGCCTCGGGGACCTCGCCCGGCTTCAGATGTTGTGGGGGCCCGTACCCGGGACCAGGGCCGTAACGGAAATGCCAGCTGTTACTGTTGATGCCAGCGCCCACTGGGGGGGAATGCTCGCCACCCTCACCATCTACCAGAGAGGGAGAAAGAAAGCAGAGTCACACCTTCACTTCAGCAGCAGCATCACCCACTTTTTTCCCTTTATTGTCAAGTCATTTCAGTATATAAAGTGTTTTATTTTATCATTTGACTATATTAAAAAGTTATTACATCATTTCAGTGCTATTAAACGTGAATCTTCTATCATTCCATTATTATTAAATGTCATTAATCTATCATTTCAGTATTCTTAAATGTTTTAATGAATTACTTCAGCATTATGACCATCAACGACATCTATCACTGGACTGTGTTTGATCAGTCTGCAGGGCATCCCTGTTTAATGCAGGGCTGGTGGGCATATTTATTTCTGAAAAGCCGGCAGCAGAACCCTGGCACTGTAGTGATAAGAAGCTGAATCAAAGTAGGTTGAGGGGCGTACGATTACTTCAGACACACATCATGCCAACGGCGTCAGCAAATGTGTCTCGTAGTGCGCAGAAAGGTTACACTTGAAAGAAATGACTGATTAACAAGAAAGTGAAAAAGAAAATGGCTAAAATAGCTCCTGGTGCGACTTTGAACCATCAGATGAAGAATGTTTTAGAGGGAGAAACTAAAAGACGCAGAGATTACATTGCTGACCTATTTCTAAGCTCCATGCTCATTTTAAGCCTCACAGACTCTTTGCCTCTCAAGATAGGGCCCCCTGCTCTACCAATTATGATTTTTTTTTCTCACGAGAACAATTGACTAAACAGATCCGTGCAAGTTCAACCTTTAAACTCAGCTGAGCACTGTTGATGTTTATTAACTAGGCTAACTGCATTGGCTCACTGCAGTAACATGACCGAGCTGAGATCACTGCATTAGTATGCTGTGGCTGAGCTTTCTGCATTAACATATGCAGTCCCTGGGGGCCGCGTCTCTGCTGCGCATTAGCGTTTCACAAGCTCAGCAGATCCAAGTGATGCAGCCACCCATCTTATACAGGTTCTCAATACTGAACTGAGGCTTTTTACATTCTGAGCAAGACTCCCTTAAGCAGGTGACATTGCAGACTGGAAAAACAATGGAAACATCAGAGCGTGGCAACACACTGGAAGTACAGTGGCCCCAAATGAAGTGTATTTAATGTGTGTTAATATGTAATCATGAGTATGTCTCTGTGGGATCTAACCAGGATGACCAGATAATCCACGTCAGGGAGGACACTCTGAGCTAGGATAGGATTTGTAAACTACCATTTCAATTAAAAGGACCTGAATTTCACTTAAGCACTGAGTTCTTGCTGTGTGTTGATTGGTCTTTGGCGAAGACACATGTTTCATCACGTCCTGTAATGTTTCTTTGTACACGTGTTGACCATACAATGCAAGGTCAGAGAGCTCGCCTTCTCCTCATTCCTAAAGAGAAAGAGGAAAAAGCGCCGGTTTACACTCCTCAGTGTTACTGCATCTCCCCAGTGTTAACGGACATATTACAGGGTGACATCATCCAATATATTATGAATTAAGGTGGAATGGAAGTAGCAGATTCAATTAATCACTGTGGGAGGTGCTGCAGGAATATGGCATCCTGCGGCTAGTACTGTGTGCCACATTCATTTGCATTAATTTATTTAGCAGATGTACAATAGAGAGTGCAGTGTTTGCCAGGCCCTGCAGATATCGGGTGCCCTGATCCAGGCCCTGACAGTGAAATTCACTCAGGGGATTTGAACCAGCGACCTTCCGATCACAGGAATAGCAACCTAACCCCCTCCCCATGTGAATAAAGTAAGAGTTGCCTCTGCATACTTGGCATGAAGTCAAAGTCATTTACAGTGGGTGCTGTCCTCTGGAAAGGGTGCATCTTGTCTCCGCTCCTGTTTGTGATTGTTTTCTTTGGATAGGAGGTCAAAGCCCTGCTGTGCCTGTGATGGTGACCAGTATTGGTGGCTAAAAGTGACATGCTCACTACTTGCACATGACGTCACTCTATTTGTTGCACCTGTCCGGGACCCAGCCAGCACTCGCCTGAGCAGTGCAAAACGGCGGGGATGGGAACCAGCGCCTCTAAATCTGAGGCCTTGATACTCTCTTGGAAATGAGTAGATTGGCTGTTCCTGGTGAGGGGTTTATTGGCCAATCCTCACCTACGGCCAGGAGCCGTGGATAATGACTGAAAGAACAGGGGCGCCTTTTTTTCTACAGCGTTTCTAAGCACATTCGTGACAAGGTGCGGCACATTCCGGCATATCAAGGCCCAGGGGCGGCCGCAGGACAAAGGGAAGGGATTTTGTCTGCCAGCCTGCTTGGGAACATGAGGAGCTAGAGAACGTGGTGTTAGACGGAGAGGTCGTTCCACCACCATAACCCTCATCAGGAGAAAATGACATAGACGATTTGTTTTCACAGTAGATGTTTTTACAGATCAGTGCGTGTAACTGCATAAGTTAATAAGAAGGAAAATGACCTATAAGCTGCTATAAATGACCCGTAAGGGCAGCAAATGTCAGGCCTGCATGAAGGTCCGGCAGAGACTGGCATAGCA